ATTTGACTATTTCCAAGTTCAAAATCATTCTGAAAGCCCTTATGTAAATTCTTGGATGTTCGTAGTGGCATTGAACTTAAAAGAATGTAATGTTCCTTTGGATTTATGTTTTAATATGTATAGTAAACATAAAAATATTTTAATACTTCATATTTCTTGCTATTATGCCTTTTACAGTCGTTCTTTTAATAATGCTCATTGTAAACTCTTTCCCTTAGAACCTGGGAGAATTTTTCTGACAAAACTGTTATATTATAAAACTGTAAATTTATGTGAAAGATGAAAAATGGAAGCATTCTTCATTTATTTTTGCAAAATTTTAAATTTTTTATGTTAGTTTTTATTTTTTTAAGATTTTATTTATTTATTTGACAGACAGGGATCACAAGTAGGCAGAGAGGCAGGCAGAGAGAAAGGGGGAAGCAGGCTCCCCGCTGAGCAGAGAGCCCGACACAGGGCTCCATCCCAGGACTCTGGGACTGTGACCTGAGCCGAAGGCAGAGGCTTTAACCCACTGAGCCATCCAGGCGCCCCAGTTTTTATTTTTTTAGAGGGGGGAGGTGCTGAGGGAGAGGAGAGAGGATCTGAAGCAGGCTCCATGCCCAGTGTGGAGTCTGATGTGGGCTCAGTTCCACAACCCTGAGATTATGACCTGAGCTGAAATCAAGAGACAGACACCCAGGTGCCTCAAAAATGGAACTGTTCTTCAGATGTGTATGTCAATACAAGATTTGTACAGACATATAGACCAATGGAATAGATAGTCCAGAAATAGCCCTCCTTCCTATGATCAAATGTTTTTCAACAGTTATTCAATGTAGAAAGGATAGTCTTTTTAACACATGGTGGTGGGAAAATTGGAAATTCATTTAAAAAAAGAATGAAGTTGGACCTTCTTAATACCTTATATAAAAATTAACTCGGAATATATCAAACACCTAAACATAAGAGCTAAAACTATAAAATTCTTGGAATAAAACACAGAGTGCATCATGACATTGGATTTGGCAATTTTTCTTGGATGTGACATCAAAGGCATCAGGGAACCTGAGTGGCTCAGTTGGTTAAGTGCCTGACTCTTGATTTTGGCTCAGGTCATGATCTCAGGATCATGAGATCAAGCCTTGAGTGGGACTCTGTGCTCAGCAGGTAGTGTGCTTGAGATTTTTTCTCTCTCTCTCCCTCTGCCCTTCCCCCATCCCTGCTCACATTCTCTATTTATCACTTTAAAATAAAAATTTTTTAAATCACAGACAACAATAGAAAAGTACTTTAATTGAAAAGCATCAAAATTAGAAACTTCTGTCCATGAAGGGCACTATTAACAGAGTGAAAAGACAACCCATGGAATGGAGAAAATATTTTCAAATCATATATCTGATAAAGGGTTAATATCCAGACTACATATAAAGAACTTCTGTGGGGCCCCTGGGTGGTGTAGTTGGTTAAGCATCCCACTCTTGGTTTCAGCTCTGGTCTGATCTCCGGGTCATGAGAGCAAACCCCTTGTTGGCTCCATGCTCAGCAGAGTCTGCATGGGTTTCTCTCTCCGTCTCCCTCTGGCCCCTTCCTCAAACAAATAAATCTTAAAAAAAAAAAAAGAACTTCTGAACTCAACAGCTAAAAACCAAACAACCTTTTTAAAACGTAGGCAAAGAGGACGCCTGGGTGGCTCAGTTGGTTAAGTGGCTGCCTTCGGCTCAGGTCATGATCCCAGCGTCCTGGGATGGAGTGCCACATCAGGCTCCTTGCTCGGCAGGGAACCTGCTTCTCCCTCTGCCTCTGCCTGCCTCTCGGCCTACTTGTGATCTCTCTCTCTCTTTCTCTCTCTCTCTCTCCCTGACAAATAAATAAAATCTTAAAAAAAAAAAATAAAAAATAGGCAAAGAAAATAAATAAAAATAAAAATTAGGCAAAGGGCTTAAATAAACACTTCTCTAAAGAAGATATATACAAATGGCAAAAACACATGAAAAGATGTTGAACACCACTAATTATTTAGAAAATGCAAATCCAAATCACAATGGGATACTACTTTGCACACATTACAGTGGCTGTTATAAAAAAAAAAACAAACCAGAAACAGCAAGTGTTGGTGAGGATATGGAAAAATTAGAACTGTCGAACATTGTTGGTGGGAATATAAGATGGTACACAGTATGAAGGCTCCTTAAAAAATTAAAAATAGAATTACCATGTCATCCAGCAATCCCACTTCAGGGTGTATACACAAAAGAATTGAAAGCAGGGACACAAACAGGTATGTGTACCCCCCTGTTCATGGTAGCATTATTCATAATAGCCAGGAGGTGGAAGCAACCTAGGTGCTCATTGATGGGTATTTTGGTAAACAAAATGTGGTATATCCATACAACAGAATATTATTCAGCCTTTTAAAAGGAAGAAACTCTTCTTAAACACTACAGCATGGATAAGCCTTGAAGACATTATGCTAAGTGAAATATGCCAGTTACAAAAGGACAAATACTGCATGATTCCACTTACATGAGGTATCTAGAGCAGTCAAATTCATAGAACAGAAAATAGAATGGTGGTTGCCAAAGATAGGAGGGCATGGGGAGTTAATGTTTTAATGGGTACAGAGTTTCAGTTTCAGAAGATGAAAAAGTTCTGGAGATGGATATTAGTGATAGTTGCACAACAATGTAAATGCACTTAATGCCACTATACATTTAGAAATGGTTAAAATGGTAAATTTTGTTATATATATTTTATCACAAGTCTTAAAAAAGGCTGGTAGTAGACACTATTGGTTATCTGGCCAAAATGTATGGTCTCCCTTTATTCTTAATGGCTGAGACCCTATTTTGTTTAGGTATGTAGAACTTACCCTTGTGACTTACCTTGGGACCTTTCCCAAGTCCCAGGATAAATTCTGATTGACTTCAACAAATCAGGGTTGTTTTCCTTATACTGTTGGTGAGGTTTTTCTGTTTGTGTTGTTTTATTTTTAGCTAGATGAACAAAAATATGTACTATAATGTTGTTTATACAAGCAAAGTATTGGGAAACAAAAACTCTAAATGTCCATTGGTAGAAGAAGACTGGTTTCAAAAATCCTGGCACAAATTAGAGGCTTCTTTGTAAAAATAACAACAACAAAAACAACTTTGTAAAAATAGTATATCTCCATTTCTTAATACAAAAAGATGATCATATTGTTGAATTTTCATAAGTGCCCCCAAACAGCAATTTGTACTACTAAGGAATAAAGGTGGGGAGAGAAAGTTAGAGGGGGAGAGAGACTGAGGAAGAGAAGGAGAGACTTGGTGGTTTTATTAAGGCAAAATATTTTTTAAGGGTTTGTTCTCTTGGTCAGTGAGATGGGAAAGGAGGTGAACCAGGAGATTTTTGGGAAAGGTTTTCTCACCCTCAAGGAGCATATGTCAGACGATACTATCCCATTTTCTTTGAATGAACATTGTGCTTGAATGTGGCACCTGAAATTATGCTGCCACCTTACATTCTATGAGGCAGATCAGCCCTAGGATGAAGTAGTTGCTGAGTACAGTAGAATGGAGAAATGAAAGGAACCTTAAGCCTTAGGATAACATCCTCAAGCTGCTGATTTCATTGGGCACAGAGAGTTTCCATGGTTTGGACTTTTAAAATGTGAGGTAATGTATTTCCTTATTTGTTTAAACCAGTTTGACTTGGAATTCTGTCTGTTACTTGCATTCAGAAGTATCTTAGCTGATATGAGGCACTTCAGAAAAATAAACTGTTACCAGAGAATTAGCTTTTCCAGTTTGTGCAGGTTATTTTATTTTTATTTATTTTCTTTTTGTACAGGTTATTTTATTTTATTTTAAAGATATTATTTATTTATTTGACAGACAGAGATTACAAGTAGGCAGAGAGGCAGGCAGAGAGAGAGGAAGGGAAGCAGGCTCCCCGCTGAGCAGAGAACCCAATGCGGGGCTCCATCCCAGGACCCTGGGATCATGATCTGAGCTGAAGGCAGAGGCTTTAACCCACTGTGCCACCCTGGCACCCCTGTACAAGTTATTTTAAACTTAAGTCAGGCTTAGGTTAGATGTTACAGTGGTGGCATCTTCAGTTTTACTAATGATATACTGGGTGCTTTTACTTTTGATGTCATCATGTTCTAGAACTGTACAGTATGCAGTACAATCAACTGGAAGTGAATACAAAGTGTTTTATGGTAATTTTATATTTGGTATTTCCTATTTTCCTTATGTTTATGTGTTTTTCAAAATTCTAAGAATTATATATAAAAATAAAGAAAAACTTTACATTTTAACTAAATCCTTTAACTATGAACATCTATTCGAAGAGAATTTTGGAAGACTTGATCTATTAGATGCTTTTGTTTGCAAGTAACCAAAAAAACCAATTTAAACTGGCTCTATGTTAAAGGAATTTATTGGTTTATATAACTAAAAAAGCTAAAGGCATGTTGCATTTCAGGTAAAGCTTGATCCAGCAGCTTAACTGTATCACTAAGGACTCAGTTTCTATCTGCCTTCTTATTCTTTTCATAATTCCATATATCAGCTTTATTCTAGTGCTAGCTGTTCCCATGGTGTTAAACATGGTGACTAACAGTTTGGGCTGTGTGCTTTCTTCACTTGTATCCAGTAAGAGGAGTTTTTCCAACTTTCCATTCTCCAACTTTGGAAAGTCATAGGCTTCATTCTGAATAGACCAGTTTAGTCTATAAACCTCTCCCCAAGTCAGTCATTGTAGTTAGTTAACAGGGTAAAATATGCTTACTGGTTTAAACTACAGATGAGTAGTACCCTTGGAGGTGGGGTCAAAGTCAGTCCCATTCAGATTTATTACATGCTGATGTATGTGGAGGAAAGATGGAGTTGGTGCAGCCTTGGAACGAAGTCTAATGTACAGGGAATAGAAAAGGAGGTAAGCCATCTCCTCTGCCACGTACCATTAGATATTATTTCTGTGTTTCTATTTCAATATTACATTGTTTTCCTTTTCTCTTTTTGTCTTATTAGCAAACTGTTTGCAAAAGAAAACTACTTGGCAGCTATGAATGCGTACAACTTAGCCATAAGACTAAGTAACAAGATTCCACTATTGTATTTGAACCGGGCAGCTTGCCACCTAAAACTAAAAAACTTACACAAGGCTATTGAAGATTCTTCTAAGGTATATATATCTATTTATTTATATATGGTGCTTTAAAATTGTTATCCTCTTGTTTATGGATTTAAATCATGCCTTTAATCTTTTTTCTTTTAAAATTTATATTCTTGAGTTGCAAGGATTTTAAGAGTCATCTTGTTAGTTACTTTTTTTTAACTGAAAAAAAAAAGATTTTTTTGAATCAACAAGAAACTGATTTTTTTTGGAGACTTTAAGGCACTATATTGCCTTGGTGTGTATCAGTTGAAGTTCACAAGGAAATTCGTAAATGCTTGTCAGTTTGTGCTTACCCTTTATCTTATTAAAGTTCTGCAGACTTAAAGTTTGAAGGAAGAAAACTTGCTTTTTTCTTATTATCACTACCACCTGCACAGTAGAAGGATAGCTCTACATTAATTTCCCAATTATCAGGATAAACCTAGTATATTCTAATTTTATTATTAATATCATGTCATTATCTTAAACTTCTAGTTTTTTCTCTTTTTTGTTTTCCATGTCAGAGTAATCTGTTTTAGGGGAAAATCATATGCAAAAATCTCTCATGTGGCTCCTTGAGATTGAAAATGTGAAGGAAATAACTATATCCTCCTGCTTTGATCTCATTAAAGTATTAAAAGATCTGACAGTATTTTTATGATCCAGTTTTCCTTTTACTAGCACCATTCTGTGCACAAACATTTATTGAATGAATGAATGGGATCACCCAATTTGAATGCCAAGACCTCCAATGTTTTTAATCACTCCTGCTAATAAAGACAAAGCTGTAGAGGTTTCAAATGATAAACCAAATCACCACTTTGGAGAAAAGCTATGCATCTTGTATAGGAACAATTGAACAATTCCTTAAGTTCAACACAAATACAAGTATTTGATAAATTTCTGTGCCAGTTAAGTCAAAAATTTTGGTGGGTGAGACTTGATGCTTTTTTTTATTTTATTTTTTTAAAGATTTTACTTATTTATTTGACAGAGAGATCACAAGTAGGCAGAGAGGCAGGCAGAGAAAGAGGAGGAAGCAGGCTCCCCACAGAACAGAGAGCCCGATGCGGGGCTTGATCCCAGGACCCTGAGATCATCACCTGAACCAAAGGCAGAGGCTTTAACCCACTGAGCCACCCAGGCACCCCTGATGCTTGTTTTAAAGTTAAGATTTTTATCATGTTTTTGCCCAAGTTTAAATTAATTTAAATTAGATTGTCTTTTCCTTATTTTATTCTGTAAGGCACTAGAGTTATTGACACCACCCGTTGCAGACAATGCTGATGGAAGAATGAAGGCATATATACGACGTGGGACAGCATTCTGTCAACTTGAATTATACATAGAAGGTAAGAAATTGATAGAAATGTTTTAAGTTCCTAGTTAAACTCTGAAAAAAAATCACGAATTATTTAAGATCATAATTTTTTTAGGACTCCACTGTTTTATATTTTTAGCATTTAATATATTCTTTGTAATTTACGTGACAAAAATGATTTTGAAGTATTTAAAAAATTTATTGCTGTAGAAGGCAGTTAAGACAAGATGTGAACAAGTTTAGGTATAGGAGAATGCTACAGTATCCAGAAAACTTTTTTATGGAAAGATGTGTAATAAAGGATATAAATGAGTCACTTAAGATATGATGGAAATTTAAAATGAACTACTTTGGTCATACAGACAGACACACAAGCTCAGAAACAACTGATCTACCACAGTGTATGATCATTGCTTATGTTTGTGAGACTGTACTAACTTTTGTTTCAGCTTCATGTGTATAGAAGCCATAACACTTATTTTTTATTGTTTTTCATTTTTAATGTATTTAGGGACTTTTTGCTGTTATTCATGTTGCTTCAAAAGCAAAATTTTGTAGTAGTTAGTGTTTTAACTTTAATGCTCTTCTTCCCATGCCTCCTTACCCAGAGGACCAGACAACTTTCCTTTATTCAAGGCCTAGAGGCATACTCCTTGATGATGCCTTACCAGGGAATGGGCTAGTCTATAAGGTTTTATTATTTCTGACTACATTTTTAAACTTGTTTCTGACATTTTTTAGGAGATTTTTCTAAACAAAGCATCCCAATTAGATTTATGTGCCCCACCCTTTATTTTTAGTCTCTTAACCAGCTTCATGAAGTTAAAAATTATCAGGACAGGAATGAAATAATATAAAGCATTCTTTTTTTTTTTAAGATTTTATTTAATTATTTGACAGACAGAGATCACAAGTAGGCAGAGAGGCAGGCAGAGAGAGAGGAGGAAGCAGGCTCCCCGCAGAGCAGAGAGCCTGATGTGGGGCTTGATCCCAGGACCCTGAGATCATGACCTGAGCCGAAGGCAGAGGCTTTAACCCACTGAGCCAGCCAGGTGCCCCAATATAAAGATCCTTTAGAAATTGTAGCATCATAGACTTTTTGAGCTAAAAGTACTCTTCATTTTAAAGATGAGAAAATGGAGGCTTGGAGAAGTTACGTGATTTACCTTAAGTGGCATGGCAAATAAGTAGCACTTAGAACTCAAGTTTCCTTACTCAAAGAAATTTTCCCACTGCTTATGTTGATAAAGACTTAGACTCATTTATATTTATTTAACAGACAGTCCACAATGCTTTCCTTTTAAATTAAGTTTCCTCAAAGGAATTCTGTATATATGACAATTATAGAAAAAGCCACAAACTGTAGTCTATGAATTATATAAAGTATGAATTGAGTCTACCAAATTTTTTTTTCTAAATCTAGAATTTCTAAATAAGATGCCATTTATTACTTTCTCATTGAGGTAATAAAAATGTCTTTTTTATAGTGAGTTTTATTGAGTCTTTTCATGCTTTAATGAGCTTAAGCTGTCAGTTTATTTGTACTTGAACTTCAAATAACGCTTCTGGAGTGCTGGATGGCTCAGTCTGAAAAGTGTGCAACTCTTGATCTTGGGATCATGAGTTTGAGCCCCACATTGGGGGTGAGATTAAATCCATTTAAAAAGCTTAAAACAAAAACAAAAAACAAAAAAATACAAAAAACCCAAAAACTGCTTCTTACTGAATCCTGAATATAATGAGTATAATTATTCCTGAAATCACTGAAACATTTCTGCAATCTTTTAAGAAATACTATATAGAGACATATTTGTGAAAATGATAATCTGATTTAAAATCTGATACTTGTCTTGAACCATGTTCTTAGAGGTTTTTTTTTATTAAAAAATATATTCTAGATAACACAAGGATTTATAAAATATTAATTTTACTGACCATCATTGCAATATAAATATAGGCCTACAGGATTATGAAGCTGCACTTAAGATTGATCCATCCAATAAAATTGTACAAAATGATGCTGAGAAGATTCGGAAGATAATTCAAGGAACAGAACTAAAATCTTAATGACTGCTGAAGCAACTAGGTATTGTTTTAAGTTTTCCAAAAATAAATGGAGGCATTAGGAATTTTTGTAAATATTACGGCTGATGGTGCAGAATCACTTTTTTTTCATTCTCTAGTTCTGTAGATGGTAAAATATTATAAATCTATAGAAAATGAAATGTTCGATTTGAATTGTTTCTGAATGAGTAAATCAAACTAAGAATGATTTAATTCTTTGCTGCTTCAGTACATGGATTAATTACATATATATTTTGTTGTTGTTGCTGTTACTAAAATCAGCTCATCCTTATAACTAACAAAATATTTCTGGGTGTGATGAGTACTAGGACATTACAGACTCATTTCTGACAAAGTAAAATTTGAAAATAGAAGACTATGTTTATAATTTTTTTAATTAAATGTACTACTTAATTGAATGATTGACCTTAGTATAATCAGTACTGATATTCACCTAGTATTCAAAGCACAAAACCTTTACTTCTCCATCCCACTGTGGGAGGGTAGACCAGTTCAACCTAGCAAAACAACTGTTTGGAACCCCCCCCCTTTTTTAAAGATCTTATTCATTTATTTGAGACAGTGAGAGAGGAAGAGCATGAGCAGCAGGGGGTAAGGGCAAAGGGAGAGGGAGAAGCAGATTCTCTGCTGAGCAGGGAGCCCAACTCCGGACTTGATCCCAGAACTCTGGGATCATGTGAAGGCAGACACTCAACAGACTGAGCCACCCAGGCACCCTGTTTAAGAAGACCTTATTTTTGACTTTAGTTGTATGTAGTGCTTTCCAAGGCATTGATTATATTTCATACTATCTGGTGAAGATAAGTTTTCTAATGAGATGTTTTCTAGTAGCTTCAAGTATAACAGGAAAAAGAAAAAGACAGCAAATGTTAACATAGAATGATGTGGGGCTTGATCCCAGGACCTATATACAAAAGCTTCCCTTTTGTATATAGTAGTTATCACAATTGTCTGATTATATTTACAGGATTTTTAGAAATACAAAACACAATATTTAGGAATAAGTTTTTATAGTATTTGGTAATCTGGTGTCATTCAAATGGGCCATAAAACAGCTTCATTCTTCTTCTTCTTTTTTAAACCAATATTTTTCTTGAATTTGTAAGGGTATCCTAGTTCAGCAACCTTGAGACTTACTTTTATAAAGCAGCCTTAGATAAATTACATAGCAGCCTTGTCCGGTTAATAGACCTTCTAATAAGATAGGTTTGCTTTTTCTTATGGTTTGTTATTTTAAAAAATAAACATTACCAAAATAAAGATGGGTCTCCATGTGTGTCAAATACCAATTTGATATTCAAAATATGTTAACCAACCTAGTGTTTCTTCAGGCTCTTCCTATTAGCATCCTCCACCCACCCACCCCCCAAAAAAGACTACAACCAATAGCTACCCTAAGGACAGAAGATCTATCCTTAGTGGAAAGAAGGGATAGTGTTAACTAGTTATTTATTAATATTTTGGGCCCTATTTTCTAAATAAAGTCTTGGACTATATTTACTCAACAGACAAATTTGTATTCACAAAATACTTGACCTCTTTTGAGCAATCTCCTATTGTTTGCAAGGGACTTTTTGTCTTAAGTTGAAGTAGTGATAGAGTTGAAATCTTACTACAACATTTCTATGTCCTTTATGATGAAAACATACCTCCCAAACAATAGTGCTAATTATTACTAAGGCCCATGAATAAAAGATAAGAAAAAAATTCTTATGGTAGTCCCTTAGGTTTTTTCATAATGTCAATTATTTGATTGAAATTGATTTCAAGATACCAAGTGGATAATAAGCTAAACGTAGCTGTTACAGAAATGTAAACTGAAGGGATATTTAATCTCCCACTACTGTGTGATTGCCATACATAAATACAGAGTATGCCTGTTTATTAATAAAGACAACTTTTTGACAAATTTGGCTATGAATAAATATCAAAACTATATCAAAATATTGATTACAAAGGAAAGAGCATGACTAGTCCATTTTTGCTATGGATGTTTTATAGTAATAGTAAATAATTATTGTTAGATTTAATTTAAAAATAAAATATTTTCTAATATTCTACTTGCTTTTTGACTGATAGTCACTTGAGAGTCAGCTAGATTCACAGAACCCGTTTTTTTCTCATTAAAGTGCTTAAGCATTTTATGAAGAATGCTCATTTCTTTCCTCCCAGAAAGAGGTTTGTGAATTACATCAAGCAAAAATGGTTTGTCTCAGACCAGGTTTGGTATCATTTTTCTTTTATATATTTTATCTCTTTACTGACAAGTAAAAATATTACAGTAATAGATAAATGCTGTCTAAGAGCTAAATGGAAAGTAAACACATATGTGTGTATGTATAAACATATCCTGTCCTGGTTTCCTAGAATCAAGGAAAACTAGAGCTGGACAGTAGAGCAGTAAAAACAGATTTCACTTGGGAACTATTGCAGTATATGAAAAGAGACCTCAGTATAGAACTGGGGTCAGTTCCTAATATAGCATGGACAATGGACAAGTGATGATTTATAGTTAAAGGGCAAGTTGGGTTGAAGGCTGGGGTTGTCAGTGGTTAGAAAATTACTAAAAGGAAACATCAACGGTAGGGAGATTCTGGCTAAACTGAATTATCAGGATTATTGCTGAAAGCAGGCAAGGTTGACTGGGTATCATGGGAGATTGTGGGGGATGAAGAATTTGGTCAGATATTGAGAGTGATAAAAACTGATGATGGGGATTCTGGCTAAACCAACTTAGCAGTATTCTTGCTAACAACTGAGCTCTTAAGGACAACGCCCAAGGATCAGGCCCAGTTGAAAGAGTGGCTTAGAGGAACCTGCTTAGAGTTTGGTGAAGGAGAGACCACTGGTCACTAGCAAGTCAAGTACTTTCCAGTGAGCTTCACCCATGTGGCAAAAAGGGCAAAATGTTTTTTTTAAAGATTGATTTGAGAGAGAGAGAGTAAGCGAGTGAGGGGAAGAGTGGGGGGAGTGGGGGGGAGGGGGGATAAGTGCTGAGTGCGGAGCCTGACACGGAGCTCTATCTCATGGCCCCAAGATCATGAGCTGAGCTGAAACCAAGAGTTGGATGCTTAAATGACTGAGCCACCCAGGCATCCCATGGGCAAAGGATTTTTACACATACCATCTGGGGAAAATATTAGTAAGTGATCTCTCAAAAGGACTGACAAAAGTGTATTTCATTATCTTATTGAACTGATCTGGCTCAGTCTCCCTCTCAAAGACCTATCAAGAGCTGACCCATCTCTTGAATCTGGGTTTCAGATTCACATTAACCAAGCTCAGGAGACTGAAGCAAACAGAATGCCTACTTACTATTAATTCATAAGTAAAAATTGAGTGAGCATGTCTAAGGGGATGATAGGTTATATGAAAATTCACTCTCCTTACAAGCAGATGTATGATAAATCACATCATAAAGCTGCTTAGCAAACATGTTAAAAAAAGAAACAAGTGCAAAATAGAGTCACTTCTGGCTTCACAGGTGAATTCTATCAAACACGTAAAGAAGAGTTAATACTATTCTTCTCAAACTATTCCAGAAAATAGAAGAGGAAGGAAAGCTTCCAAATTCACCCTATGAAGCCAGCATTACCCTGATACCAAAACCAGATAAAGTCACTACACAAAAGAGAGAGAGAGAGAGAGATCTCTGATGAACATAGATGCTTAAATACTCAAAAAAATATTAGTAAACAAAATCCAGCAATACATTAAAAAAAATCATTCTCCCTGATCAAGTGGGATTTATTCCTGGGATGTAAAGGTGGTTCAATGTTCACAAACCAATCAATATGACACATTATGTCAATATGAGAAAGGATAAAAACAATGTGATCATTTTAACAGATGCAGAAAAAAAACATTTGACAAGGTACAATATTCATTCATGATGACCCTCAAAAAATAGGTTTAGTGGGAAGAGACATCAATATAATAAAGGTTACCTATAAAAAAAACCTCAGAGCTAACATCATCTTCAATGAGGAAAAACTGAGAGCTTTTCCCATAAGATCAGGAACAAGACAGGATATCTACTCACCATTTTCATTCAACATAGTACTGGATATTTTAGCCACAGCAATTAGACAAGAAAAAGAAACAAAAGGCATCCAAATTGGTAAGGAAGAGGTAAAACTTCCACTATATGCAGATGACATGATACTATATATTAAAAACCCTAAAGACTCCACCAAAAAAACTAGAACTGATAAATCAATCAGGAGAGTCGCAGTATGCAAAATCAGTGTACAGAAATCTGTTGCATTTCTATAAATTAATAATGTAGTAGCAGAAAGAGAAATTAAGAAAACAATCCCAGGGCACCTGGGTGGCTGAGTTGGTTAAGCAACTGCCTTCGGCTCAGGTCATGATCCTGGAGTCCCAGGATCAAGTCCCATATCAGGCCCTCTGCTCATCAGGGAGCCGGCTTCTCCCTCTGCCCCTCGCCCCTTTCATGCTCTCTCTCTCTCTCAAATAAATAAAATCTTTAAAAAAAATAAAAAATTAAAAATCCCATTTACAATTGCACAAAAATAATAAAATACCTAGGAATAAACCTAACCAAAGAGAGAAAAGACCTGTATTCTGAAAACTATAAAATATTGATGAAATAAATTGAAGATAACACAAACAAGTGGGAAATATCCCATGCTCATGGATAGGAAGAACAAATTGTTAAAATGTCCACTACCCAAAGCAATCTACGAATTTAATGCAATCTCTATAAAAATACCAACAGCATTTTTCACAGAACTAGAACAAACAATCCTAAAATTTGTATGGAACCACAAAGACCCCAAATAGCCAAAGCATTCTTGAAAAAGAACAAAACTGGAGGTATCACCATCCCAGATTTCAAAATTGAAAATAGACATGAACAGACATAACTCCAAAGAAAACATACAAATGGCCAACAGACCCACAAAAAGATGCTCAACATCACTCATCATCAGGGAAATGCAAATCAAAACCACAATGAGATATTACCTTATACCTATCAGAATAGCTGGTGCCAAGAAACAAGAAACAACAAGTGTTGGTGAGGATGTGGGTAAAAAGGAACCCTCAGGTACTGTTGTGGGAATTCAAACTGGTACAGCCACTGTGGAAAACACTGTGGAAGTTACTCAAAAATTAGAAATAGAATCACCATATGACCTAATAAATCCAGTACTGAGTATTTACCCAAAGAAAATGAAAACACTAATTTGAGAGCCTTTTGCAACTTTTGGAGAACATGTACTAAATAAAGCCAAGATTTACTAAAACATGTCTCTTTTTATTCTATTTTGAACACATTTTTATTTAAGAAGTCACTGTTATTCAGGTATCAGTTCAAATGTTTTATTTCTTAAAGTATTTTTTTAACTAATTCAAATACTTTTATATTTCAAGTTAGGTATTCTAGCCTTAGATTTAAAATGCACTTTTCTTGAGTAATTTTCTCTTAAATATGCAAAGGAATATATTTTCATAGAGTACGTTGAAAATTAGGAAAATCAAGGGTTCTGGTTCTATCAGGTGTAGTGTTTAGAGAGTTATTTTGATAAAATCCAGTAGCGCTGATGTGGTTTGAAAATACCTGGTCTCTTGGAGTATAATTGCAGGGAAAAAACTGTGGCTTAGGTAAAAATTCACCATAATTACTCGAATTGGTTTTATACATAATCATCTTAGGTTTTGATAGTGAGGTAGCTGTATAGAGTGTCTTTGGGTCCAACATACATGAAAACACAGGATTGCCAGGATTCACACAAGGAGGAACTTGTTCAGGTTTCACTTCTGTTCCTGAATTTGAAGCTGAAGCACATTTCTTGTCCTAAAATATAAACACATCAAATCATTCTCAATTATAAAATTTTGGGAAAAAAATTAAAACTAGCACCAACCCTGTCATACCACTCACAAAAATTAACTCAAAATGAATTAAAGACTTAAATGTAAGACCTGAAAGCACAAAGCTCCTAGAAAAGAACACAGGGGGAAAGCTCTGTGATGTTCTTGGCATAAATTTTTTGGATATGACACCAAACGCATAAGCAACAAAAGCAAAAATAACAAGTGAGCCTGCATCAAACTGAAAAGCTTCTGCACAGCAAAAGTAGTCGTCAACAGAATGAAGAGACAACCTACAGAATGGGAGAAAATATTTGCAAACTATATTGATAAGGGATTAGTATCCAAAATATACAAGGAATTCATACAATGCAGTAACAAAACATAACCTGATTAAAAATGAGCAGAGGATCTGAATAGACATTTTTCCAGACAAGATGACAAATGGCCATTAGGAACATGAGAAACTGTTCAACATCATTAATGATCAGAGAAAAGCAAATTAAAACCACAATGAGGTACAACCTCATGCCTGTACTAGAATGGCTTGTGTCAAATAACAAGTGTTGGCGAGGATGTGAAGAAAAGGAAACCCTTGTGCACTGTTTGTGGGAATGCAAACTGGTGCAGTCACTATAGAAAACAGTATGGAGATTACTCAAAAAATTATAATTAGTATTACCATATGATCCAGCAATCCCAGTTTTGGGTATATGCCCAAATGAAGTTAACTCACTATCTCAAAGGGATGTCTGCACTCCCATGTTCGTTGCAGCACTATTCACAATAATAGCAAAGACATGGAAACAATCTATGTGTCCATTAATGGAAGAATGGATAAAGACGTAGTATACTATATTCTCATGTATATATACATACATAAGTATTAATCATCCATAAAAAAAAGGAAATCCTGCCATTTCAGATAACATGGAGGGCGTTATGCTAAGTGAACTAAGTCAGACAAAGAATACGAGAATCTCACATATATATGAATCTAAAATTTTAAAGTCAAACCCATTGAAACAGAAGAACGATGATTTCCAGGGGATGGAGGAAATGGAAAGATGTTGGTCAATGAGTACAAACTTCCAATTATAAGAAGAGTAAGTTCAAGGGATCTAATGTACAGCATGGTAAGTATAGTTACCAATACTTTATTATATACTTGAAAGTTGCTAGAGAGTAGATTTTAAATGTTCTCACCACAAAAATAACTTTAATTATGTGAGGTGATGTATGTGCTAATCTTATTGTGGTAATCATTTCACAATGCATACATACAAGAAATCACGTAATACATCTTAAACTTACACACTGTTATATGTCAATTATATCTCAATAAACCTGGAAAACAAAACAAAACAAAACAAAAAGGTTAGCATGTCCACTTCACTTTTACAGGAATTCTGTTCTCTTGAGGGCAGTGGCTAGTTCTCATAAATGACATAATATCTGGACAAAATAAACTTATCAAAAGTATGTATAAGAAAGGTTTAAATGCTGTACTGGAATCATGAGAATTTATATAACATTTGTAAATCGTAGAGAAGATCTGCAAGAAGTCATAGTTAGAAAAGGACATACTGCCTAATTCTAGAATGAGAAGAGAATGAGATATGTGGGCATAACCATTAAGTAAATAATTACACATCTAGTAATTATAATTGTGGTAAGTGCTATGGAGAAAAAATATATAAGCTATTTATGAAAATTTATAGGGGGTTCTAACCTACTATGGGGGCTAAGAAAGGCCAATCTAGTGAAGTGTCATTGAATCTAAGACTGCAAGGCCAGGAAAAGTTAGAAATGGTAATAAAGAAAAACTCAGCATGGCCAAAGTCAAGTAAGTTAGGGTGAAAATCTGAGATGAGAATAGAGGGGCAGGGGCCAGATCCTGAAGAATCTTGTTGACTCTTTTAAAATTTGGATCTTTATGGTAAAAGCAATGGAAAGTTATTAAAGTGTTTTAAGGAGATGCATGCCATTAAGTAACAAGTTTTACTATGATTACTTTGGCTGCTGTCAGGGTCTTGAATGGATGTAGAAAGAAGCTACAGCAGTCCAAATAACTGATGACAATGATCTGTAGTTGGGTGGTGGTATAGAGAGGGAAATAAGTAAACAAATTTGAAATATATTTTGGAAGTAGAATTCACAGAGTCTGGCGATTGATTGAAAGTGGGTGGTGATGAAGATGGACAGATCAAGGATGAAGACTAGGTTTCTGGACAAACACTTGGGTAGCTGGTGGTGCAATTTACTACAATTTTTAATATACAAATTAAATATGAATATATATACACACTACACATATTTTAACACTCCACTCACTGCAATGGACAGATCATCTAAATAGAAGATCAATAAGGAAACAGGGCTTTGAATAACACAGTGGACCAAATGGACTTCACAGATATATTAAGAGCATTTCATCTAAAAGCAATAGAGTGTACATTCTTCTTGAGTACACATGAAACATCCTCCAGAACAGATCACATATTTGAGTCACAAATCAGGTCTCACCTGGTAATAAAAGACTGGGATCATTTGCTGCATATTTTCAGACCACAATGCTTTTGAAACTTGAACTTAATCACAAGAGGAAATTTGGAAGAAAACAAATACATGGAGGTTAAAGAGCATCCTACTAAAGAATGAATCAGTGAACCAGGAAATTAAAGAAGAATTTAAAAAATTCATAGAAATAAATGAAAATGAAAAAAAACAAAAAAAAAAAACCAAAAAAACAACTGTTTAAAACCTTTGGGATGCTGCAACAGTGATCCTAAGAGGGAAGTATATAGCAATGCAAGCCTTTCTTAAGAAACAAGAGAGGTCTCAAATACACAACCTGACCTTAGACCTAAAGGAGCTGGAGAAAGAACAGCAAAGAAAGCCTAAACCCAGCAGGAGAAGAGAATTAATAAAGAATAGAGCAGAAATCACTGAAATAGAAACCAAAAGAACAGTAGAATAGATCAACTTAACTAGGAGCTGTTTCTTTGAGAGACTGATAAACCCCTGGCCAGGCTTATCAAAAAGAAAAGAGAAAGGACCCAAATAAATAGAATCATGAATGAAAGAGGAAAGGTCACAACCAACACTGAAGAAATACAAACAATTATAAGAACATATTAAGAGCAACTATATGCCAACAAATTAGGCAATCTGGTAGAAATGGATACATTCCTAGAGACATATAACCTTCTGAAATTGAAACAGGAAGAAATAGAAAACCTGAACAGATCCATAAGCAGCAAGGAAATTGAAGCAGTAATAAAAAATCTCCCAACAAACAAGGCCAGATGGCTTCCCAGAGGAATTCTATCCAGTATTTAAAGAAGCCTTTAAATAGACTAGAATACCTAGTCTTCTGAGGCTGTTTCAAAAAATAGAAATGGAAGGAACACTTCCAAACTCATTGTATGAGGCCAGCATTGTCTTGATCCCAAAACCAGACAAAGATCTCACCAAAAAGGAGAATTACATACCAATATCCCTAATGAACATGGATGCCAAAATTTTCACCAAGATCCTAGCCAATAGGATCCAACAATGCATTAAAAGGATTATTCACCACAAACAAGTAGGATTTATTCCTGGGCTGCAAGGGTGGTTCAACATCTGCAAATCAATCAATGTGATATACTATGTTAATAAAAGGACAAGAACCATATGATCCTCTTAATAATGCAGAAAAACATCTGACAAAGTACAGCATCCTTTCTTAATTAAAACTCTTTACAGTGTAGGGATACCTCAATATCATAAAAGCCATATATGAAAAGCCCACAGTGAATATCAATCTCAACACGGAAAAACTGAGAGCTTTTCCCCTAAGGTTAGGAATACAGGAGGAACACTATCATCACTATTGTTCAACCTAGTACTAGAAGTCCTAGCCTCAGCAATCATACCAAAAAAAAAAAAAAAAAAAAAAAAAAAAAAAAAAAAAAAAAAAAAAAGAAAGAAAGAAATAAAAGACATCCAAATCAGCAAAGAAGTCAAATTCTCACTCTGCACAGATGACATGATACTCTATGTGGAAAACCCAAAGGCTCCATCTCAAAATTGTTAGCACTCATACAGGAATTCAACAACGTGGCAGGACATAAAATCAATGTACAGAAATTAGTTGGATTTCTATATACTAACGATGAGACAGAAGAAAGAGAAATTAGGGAAGCAATCCCATTTATAATTGCACTAAAAGCCATAAGATACCTAGGAATAAACCTAACCAAAGAGGCAAAGGATCTGTACTCAGAAACTATAGAACACTCATGAAGGAAATTGAGGAAGAAACAAAGAAATGGAAAAAAGTTCCATGCTCATGGATTAGAGGAACAAATATTGTTAAAATGTCTATGCTACCTAGAGCAATCTACACATTCGATGCAACCCCTACCAAAATACCATCAACTCTTTTCACAGAGCTGCTGGAATAAATAATCCTAAAATTTGTATGGAACATAAAAGACTCTGAATAGCCAGAGGAATGTTGAAAAAGAAGACCAAAGCTGGTGGCATCACAATTCTGGGCTTCAAGCTCTATTACAAAGCTGTAATCATCAAGACAGTATGGTTTTGGCACAAAAACAGACACATAGATCAATGGAACAGAATAGAAAACCCAGAAATGGACCCTCAAGTCCATGGTCAACTAATCTTCGACAGAGCAGAAGGATTTAAAGGATTTCCTTTATCCAAAGGAAAAAAGAAAGTCTCTTCAACAACTGGTTTTGGGAAAATTGGACAGCCACATGCAGAAGAATGAAATTGGACCATTTTCTTATACCATACACAAAAATAGACTCAAAATGGATGAAAGACCTAAATGTGAGACAGGAACCCTTCAAAATCCTAGAGAACACAGGCAGCAACCTCTGTGACTGCAGCCCCAGCAACCTTTTGATAGAAATGTTCCAAAGGCAAAGGAAACAAAAGCAAAAATGAACTGTTGGGACTTCATCAAGATAAAAAGCTTTTGCACAGCAAAGTAAACAGTCGATAAAACCAAAAGACAACCAATAGAATGGGAGAAGATACCAGCAAATGTCTTACCAGATAAAGGGCTAGTATCCAAAATCTAAAAAAAAAAAAAAACCCCAAAACTTATAAAACTCAACATCCAATGAACAAATAATCCAATCAAGAAATGGGCAGAAATCACGTTACCTGATTTCAAGCTTTACTACAAAGCTGTGATCACCAAGACAGCATGATTTCAAGCTTTACTACAAAGCTGTGATCACCAAGACAGTACTGGCATAAAAACAGACACATAGACCAGTGGAACAGAGTAGAGAGCCCAGATATGGACCCTCAACTCTATGGTCAAATAATCTTCGACAAAACAGGAAAAAATATACAGTGGAAAAAAGACAGTCTCTTCAATAAATGGTGCTGGGAAAATTGGGCAGTTATATGTAGAAAAATGAAACTAGACCATTCTCTTACACTGTACACAAAGATAAACTCGAAATGGATAAAAGACCTCAACGTGAGACAGGAATCCATCAGAATCCTAGAGGAGAACATAGGCAGTAACCTCTTCAATATCAGCCACAGCAACTTCTTTCAAGATATGTCTCCAAAGGCAAAGGAAACAAAAGCAAAAATGAACTTTTGGGACTTCATCAAGATCAAAAGCTTCTGCTCAGCAGAGGAAACAGTCAACAAAACAAAGAGGCAACCCACGGAATGGGAGAAGATATTTGCAAATGACAGTACAGACAAAAGATTGATATCCAGGATCTATAAAGAACTCCTCAAACTCAACACACACAAAACAGATAATCATATCAAAAAATGGGCAGAAGACATGAACAGACATTTCTCCAATGAAGACATACAAATGCCTATCAGACACATGAAAAAATGTTCATCATCACTAGCCATCAGGGAGATTCAAATTAAAACCACATTGAGATACTACCTTACACCAGTTAGAATGGCCAAAATTAGCAAGACAAGAAACAACATGTGTTGGAGGGGATGTGGAGAAAGGGGAACCCTCTTACACTGTTGGTGGGAATGCAAGTTGGTGCAGCCTCTTTGGAGAACAGTGTGGAGATTCCTCAAAAAATCAAAAATAGAGCTTCCCTATGACCCTGCAATTGCACTACTGGGTATTTACCCCAAAGATACAGATGTAGTGAAAAGAAGGGCCATCTGTACCCCAATGTTTATAGCAGCAATGGCCACGGTCGCCAAACTGTGGAAAGAACCAAGATGCCCTTCAAGGGACGAATGGATAAGGAAGATGTGGTCCATACACACTATGGAGTATTATGCCTCCATCAGAAAGGATGAACACCCAACTTTTGTAGCAACATGGACAGGACTGGAAGAGATTATGCTGAGTGAAATAAGTCAAGCAGAGACAGTCAATTATCATATGGTTTCACTTCTTTGTGGAGCATAATAACATGGAGGACATGGGGAGATGGAGAGGAGAAGGGAGTTGAGGGAAATTGGAAGGGGAGGTGAACCTTCAGAGACTATGGACTCTGAAAAACAACCTGAGGGTTTTGAAGGGGCAGGGGGTGGGAGGTTGGGGGAACAAGGTGATGGGTATTAGGGAGGGCACGTATTGCATGGAGCACTGGGTGTGGTGCAAAAACAATTAATACTGTTACGATGAAAAGAAATTAAAAAAAAAAGAAATGGGCAGAAGACATGAACAGACAGTTTTTCAGAGAAGACATCCAGATGGCCAAAAGACACATGAAAAGATGCTCCACATCACTCGACATCAGGAAATACAAATCAAAACCACAATGAGATACCACCTCACGCCAGTCAGAATGGCTTAAATTAATGAGTCAGGAAATGACAGATGTTAGTGAGGATATGGAGAAAGGGGAACCCTTTTACACCATTGGTGGAAATGCAAGCTGGTGCAGTCAGTCTGGAAAACAGTATGGAGGTTCTTCAAAAAGCTAGAATTACAGTAAACCAAATCTAGTCGAAACAGAAGAGAAATTAACTGATAAACTTTGTTGGCATAATTTGTACCACACAATCAGGAAATGTTAGGGTCTACCATGAATCTTTTTGACTTCCAGGATAATTGTTACATACTTAGAACTAAAATACTCATTCTTTTACTTTACGTCATAGGTTACTGCAGTTTTCCTATTTGGGTTTCACCCTCTTCAAATCTGATATTCTTAAAATGTAGAGTTCAAATTAGATACAATTAAAAACAAAACAGCCTTATACAAAGAACAATAGAAGGATTATTTTAAGTGCCCTATCAGGTTACACATAGGATCAGCAAATATTATTTACTTAAAGATTAAAAGGTTAATTAAAAGTGTAAATGATTCTTCTAAAATTGAAGATCTTAAAAAATTGGACTGTGAAAGTGCCTTGAAAGGATTAAAAATCTACAAAGAGATCATATTAGTGGTAAAGACCACTCATGTAATTTTCAGGCTCCCCTGGAATTAGAGAAAGTCAATCCACTGGGGTTTTTCAAACTTTTTCCTTATAAACATGTACACATTTTTAAAAGATAAATAAGAACAAGTCATTGAGATAATAAAAATGCTCTTTATGGGAGCTGTAATTGTAAAGTTAAAAATCGTTTTTTTCTTTTTTTGATGTTTTGTCACAGGTGATGTTAACTATACCAACACCAAAAGCAAAAAAAACTCCCAAAGTCTAATTTTGAGGCACCTTTTTGTTTCTGCTCAGACCCATCATTCTCCTTGGTAATGCTTTTATTTATTTATTTATTTATTTATTTATTTTTTGCCACATTGGGGGACAGACCCTTGTTTAACCCTAAACCTTAACTTTCTACGTTTCCATCAAAAGTGAATACAAGTGCACTGTATTATTCTTTTTTCCCCTCCTATCCTTTTTGAACAAGGTAGTGAAAGAAAATGTAAAATTAACAAGGTACGTTTTTCATTTAAAGCCATCGCCGCAGTTGCACACCATCCCCAGTCATTTCATACTTCCAGAGGCAACTCTGGCTCAGCGCGATGCATTTACGTCTGTGTAGCCCAGTGGTTGTCTAGAAAAGTGTTTCTTGGGGGTGGGGCGAGTGGCGGTGCGTGGCGCCCAAATTTATAGCGAGGAATACCAGCTGTCAAAAACATTCAGCCCTCTGCCCAAACCCACCCAGTCGTACTCGGTCATTCTCGGTATCTTCTTTATTATTGGGCAAACGCAGTCTTCTCCGGCAGCGGATAGCAAGACGACCAGGGAGCGCGCAGAGGAGAGGCCTTTCTACTACATCCAGTTAAAGCCTCAGAGAATATGAACCGTTCGCTAGATCAATCCGGATCTACTAATCCACCTAATCCAGGGAGCTGCCCTCCGGGTGAAACCGCGAATCCTTTAGAGAGGTGGTCTCCATAGCAACCGGCCGCGGAGCCGCTTTCGCGCGGGGGCCCGGATGTTGTGAGGATCGTCGCCGCCCTGCTTAGCTTCCTGCTGCCGATCCCGGCCGGCGGCGCTCCTCTTCGGGAGTCGTAGTTCTTCCCTCCTCTCGTGCCCTACATGAGGAGCGGGAGGGACTACGAGTTCCGGCATGCGCTGCGGCGCCCCACCGGCCGCCGCCTCCCGGCTGCGGACGCCTGCGAGCAGGTTGTTGTTTTTAAGTGAGGCGTCACTGTTCTGGGAGCTGTGACCGCCGCCACCGCGACAGTCAACACAGTCGGGCGGAGGTGGCGCTGCCCGTTTAGGTATGGCCCTGGGCTGGTTGGGACCCCGGGAGAGGAGTCTCGGCCGCCTGTCGGGGTTCTGTCCGCTGTTGAGTTGTGTGGCGGAGGCAGAGGCGGTGTCTTCTCTGAGGCAGGGGTCGCTCTGGCAGGGGCTGCCCAGGCTGGGACTGACTCCGGGCGGGAGCTGGTGCAAGGGTGGTCTTGAGCCGGGCGCTGAGGCGTAGGGTCTGGAGGTCTCGCACCCTCCGATCCCTGCTTGCGAACCGGAGCGGCGTACTAAGGGATTGGGGGAGCTGATGGCCGGGGGGACCCTTCTTTCACAAGGCTGGCTTGGGCGCTTCTTGGTCTTGACTGATGAGAATCCATATGGTAAGATGTTATGTGCGTCACCCGGCCGGTTTTTTCAGCCTGCCCATCTCTTTTGGTGACGTTTGAGCCCCGTGATGCCAGGAATAGGAGGATTAAATATTAAATAATGCAGCTGAGATTGCTGCTTATACCCCAGGCTGATAATGATCAGATCCCCTTCCTTATCCTTTTCCGCCTCACCCGGCCCACTTCTTAATCGATAACTTCTCTGTAGCAGCTGTCCACACAGTTCCTCGTGTGCTCTACATATTTATTTTTGTTTGATGAATCCAGCTCTGCCATTGGGAGCGGCAATTTTAACGAACTCAGTCAATTGTGGTAGTTCGTTGAGTGGGTGAAGTTTGCACTGCTTCACAATTGCTTTATTTAAAAACGAAGTGGAGCTTTCTTGTAGCTAGAAGAGGTAACTACTTGAGTCCTGCGAATTTTAGATTTGCCTCCTCCAATAAGGTTACCTCCATTGGATAGTGCTTGAACTGTCTGTTAGCGCTTCATATTTTTGGTTTAAGGTTTGAATCTTATTAGGTCCCACATTTTTCAGGGGGATACAATCTATCACACCTTGGACGCTAGTGTCAATGGTTTACTGTTCTTTGCTGAGTTCTCTTCATAAAGGTGAAGGGATAGGAGAAGGCAAGGGTATTATTTTAATGCGTAATTTTTAACCCTTAAGCGAAGGATAGGATCCTAATTAAAGAAGTTACTAAATAAAAACCATTCTTAAATAATATTCAGGGGTGTGGGAAATACTTTTGAAGTGAAAACAGGTTAGAAAATGGTATAATTCTGATTTTGTAAATGAAACTATAGAACCAGAAGTGATCATGTCTACTAAAAAATAAGCTCAAAAGATAGTTATAAAAGTGATCAGATAGTGAAACCATAAATGGCTTTTTCTTTATATTTTCTGGTATTTTCCAAATTTTCCAAGGAAAAGAACTTAATTAAAAAAAAAAAGGATACAGGTGCAGCAGTTCAATAGGTCCTTTAAACATTGCTTTAAAAAAACAAACAACAACAAAGAACCTACACAGAGACCCTGTTACTGCATCCACAGATTATATAAATAACAATTTAAACCTAAATTATTTGTCTGGAGGGGGCAAGAAATGCATTTGTTGGATTAAAAAGGAAAAAAAACCCAGATATAACAATAATTCTTAATATCTGCATGTCTCATTTTAATCTGTTTTCATTTTGCATGGTAAAATCAAGGAGAAAAGTGCTCAGTCTTTAGTTAAGGCAGTGCAATGTTGATTATTCCTGTAAATCTATCAGGTGACAAAAGATGGGCATATTAATCTGAGAAGATCTAGAGGTAGGAGAATTTTAAATTTAAATTTATTTCCAGTGGAAATAAAGAAGTGAAGCAATGATGAAATGTGGACTTTTAAAGCTTGTTTTCATTAAATCACGTTGACTATCATGTTTTATATGGTACTGATATTTTGGATTGTGCTTACTTTTATTTTCTGTTATTGATATGTTGGATATGAATGGGTAAGAAGCATATTATTTAGCTCACATTTTGTTTTCTGTCCTAAGGAAAGGGTCACATTGGTCTTCTGTAGGAATATTCTATGTATTTTTGCAATTATCAGTCCTGAAAAATTGAGGTTAAGCCTCAACTCCCAAGTATCCATTAAATCTTAATATAATATCCATTCTAAAGCTTTTTTTGTTTAAGCTATAGTATTCATATTTTATTTTCTTTGAAGCTTTGCTTCCTCTTCAAGTTTCAATTCCTTTTTGCTACTTTGTATCTTTTAATTTTGTATATATTGTCTATTGTGTTAGCTCAGTATCTTACTAGATATTTGAGTCCATTTACAGGGCTTAAGAAACATAATTGATGAACATGTTTGATTTACTAACTTGTTACACAGTATTATAGTCTCAATTGTGTAGTTGCATTCTTATCTAAGTTAAATAAAGATTTAAAAAAGCTAGATAAGTATGAACTGCTAAGATCCTAGAGCAGTAGTTTCTGACATGTAAAGAACATGGACACAGCAGCAAGGCCTGTTAAGCCCAGGATATTTTAAAACAGAAAATGCAGACTCATCTAACAATGCAGAACTACTAGAGGCTGGATTGTTTGTATGTTTATGTGTGGTTAGGTGAGGAAGTTGCCATAATGTATGTGATAACTTACATTTTAAAGAAATTCCTTGCTGGCAGTTTTACAGTTTTGACTAGATTAAAACAAATTAGAGATATTAGTGTGTTTCAAAGGTCATGTCCAATATACTGCACCAGATAAATTTGAAAAAAGTTTCTAAATTTGGGTTCTAAGATGAAATTTAGCCCTATAATGTGGGAAGGATTGGAAGTAAGTGGTAAGTTTAGGAATTTTCTTTCTTTCTTTTTTTTTTTTTAGGACGTCTGTTGTGTGGAAACTTCGTTTAAGGGCCAGTTGGTTTTTTGAAGTAAGTATTAAAAATGAATAAAGTGAGTCAAAGATTTTCCTCCTTCACTATAGGAAGTCAGAAATCTAATTTTTCTTTAGTATCTGTCCATAAATCACTATCCTAAAATCCTTCTGTCTGGTTCATACTACCATCATGATGAAATTACTGTAAAAAGAGCATTGGATTGGGAATCAGGATGTTTAATGATGTTGAGCACGATTTGTGACTCTGTCTTGTTTCCATGTGTACATTGTACATAATAGCCAGTTGCCATACTTGATGGTGTATTTGTGAAGCTCAAATCAGGTATGAAAATGACATCACTTTGTAAGTGGCAGAGTGATCCGCCCATGCAAAGTATTATTGGCCTACATAAGTAACATTTATATAAAGTATATTGTGCATTTGAAGTGTGATAAGAATGTGATAGGTTTTTTTTTTTTTTTTTTTTTTTGACTGGGAAGTTTGATGGAACAGTGAAATGGTACCTTAATTTGATATTTTAGTAGAGCTTTTGGCTTTTTCTAGGTTGGAGGAAACTTGGCCCCTGTCCTGACTGTGACTTTGCACTCTGCTGCATTAAAGGTCCTGAAACTGCAGTGTGCTTTTAAAAGAGTACTTTTAATTTTTTTTTTTAATTGCACATCTAAAGTCTAAGGAAAATCATCAGTGTAACTTCTGACAGTAGGAGGTGGATGTTTTTAATGTTCTAAATGTGTTTAATGTTGTAAAATGTTACTTTAAGTTGACTTCATGACATTGAGCCTACACTGAATATGAAATCCTAGGTCCTCTGAGAGATACTTGCATGTGTAAGCATTGATCTTTCATAAATAGTTTGGAGCTTAGATACCTTCTTCTGGGGAAGTCATCCCTGCCTATTACAGCATCTGACCCTTGAGATTAACTTTAGCTAAGGTGGGCATACAGAACATTCAAGTAAAAAAGTGTTTCAGAAACTTTTCTGAGGACTTTTTGAGAGTAAATGTAAGTGAAAGTGAAAGACAAAGTAATATAATATGTATCCTGCATGGGTTGGTGACAGCTGTTTATATGATTAGTTGATAACTCAGTATCTTTACTAACATTTTCTAATATTACTACTAAAAAGTAACAGTAGATGTATATTTAATTGTTCAGTGTTTTTTTAAAAATGGAAAACAATAGAGGTGTAAAATCCCTTTGTTTTTCATAGAATTAGGGTGAATTAAAAGGTATAGATATGTGATGAATATGTATTTTTAATAAGCAAAAATGAATTATTTTTAAAAATTTGAGAATAGAGGAAAACAAAGAGGCAAAACCCAATAGTTTTACTTACTTATTCATGAAAGGGAATAAGGGGCCACCAGGGGCTCATGGTGCCCAAGTGAGTATGGAGCCTTGGTCAAGTTTATGTATATGTTGTTTCTTTTAGGCTCCTCCAGAATTAAGATAAAACAGTCTTTGAAAGCCAGGTTTTTTTTTTTCTCAGAATGAAAGTACCTGGTGAAAGGAATGTTTACATACTAATAGGCATCTTAATTTCCCCACAGTGTTTGAATTCATATTTCTGACTCACTTCATTTCACACTTTTTTATCAAAGGTGTGTCTTCTTTTAGATGGAAGCAAAAAAAGAGTACTTTCATCTTCAAATATGGTAGTGGTTGCTTTTGTTTCCTAATTTGAGGGATGTTACATCATAGAAGGAAACCTGTGAAGAAATTGTGTATTGACTCACTTTTTTTTTTTTTTTTTTTAAGTTTGTGTGCTGCCAAAGCGAGCACTGACTCACTTCTTAGTTTATTTTCTACATCAGAAGGTTAATCTGCTGCCTGTAACCATGTTGG